GTCTGTGTCTGGGTCTGTGTCTGTTTCTTTGTCCGTGTCCGTGTTTGCTTTTGCGTCTGGGTCTGGGTCATTTTATGTGTCTGTGTCTATGCCCGTATATGTGTCTGTGTCTGTGTCCGTGTCCGTGTCTGTGATTGTTTTTGTGTGTCTGTATCTATGACTGTGTCTCTGTGTCTATGTGTGTTGGTGTGTGGTGAGGTGAGTTTGGGTGTGTGGATGTGTACATTTGTATGGTTGTATTTTTGTTTGTGTATTACGTATTGTACTATCAACTCTGTACTAAACATGCACATCCCTTCCAGCGTATAGACACATTGCACGCGCCACGGTTAGAAAACGTACACATTTTTAATAATAGAAAACCATTCGTATCGTTTTAAAAGCCTACTATCGGAAGGACTGGTGTACAATATTTGCTTACGCGGGTGGAGCACAGCTATCGTCTGCACGGAATCATTCCAGTTTCAGCACTTGTTTGCGTTTTTTCTAAACCTCAATGCGACTCTATTCAGCGTGTACCTTTGTTAGTGTGCGGCTGTAGCTGGCTAATCAGCAGACCAGCAGTGTTCTCGGATGTAGTTTAAATCTTATACTCGTGCATCTGTCTCCGTCATAAAATCAGCGAACGTGGCATTGCCAGACAGGGTAAAGCATAGGCGGTTCTCTCTTGGGACTATAAAAAGAGGCCAACAAAGAGTGCAACCCTCCGCCGCCAACCTGATGTCCCCCCGTCCGGCCCGCAAAACAGTTCAATTCAGTATCAACACAGTTGGTATGTAGTGATACAACCACAGCATGTGGCCCTGTCCTCACGCCTTTACGTTGGCTGGGGTTGCTCTCATTGTGGCCATGGGTATTGAAATCCTGCCACTTGTGACTGTGCACTCCGGTTTTCTGTCAACATAACATTTGGTAGGAACTCTAATCGAGAAGCTTCTCAATTTTGAGCTTCTAGTAGTGTGATTCAGACATCAACTCAATTATTTGCACACGTCTGTTGTATATGCACAACCCTTGATTCGTAATGCGTATGCGAAAATCCTTTCTTCCAATGAGGAGTGCCACAAATGTATCACTTGCTCGCATTGACGATGTGTCTCCCGGTACAACAACTTTCTTCCAGAAAGACCATTGTGTAGGGCGCAAAACAATACCCATATACAGTGTAATACATTACTTGAGACTAACTACAAAACATGCCTGTTCTTTGTAGAGCACGAATATGACAGTAGTGACTACACGCCACGTGATAGCGACAGTGAGAGCGAGACGGAATCCGGCGACAGCATCACCAACGATAAAGATCGGCCCAAGAAGGTCCGAAACGGTCCTAAAATAGAACGAAGAGACACCAAACGATCCGCTCCCCTTCCTGGTAGCCCTCCACCGGCCGATCTCCCCAGTCCCACAACTTCGGATGACGACACTGGTGATGAGGTAGTTTTTATTTTTTGACCAGACGGGGTTGATGGGACGTAGCACAGTTAGCTCTAGCAAAGTCTGAGTTGAGCACAGTATATGCGATTAGTTCTGGTGTGTTTGTGAATGTGTGTTTGTTGCGATGCGACCCGTTAGGCTCGCATGCAACGATAGTAGATCGAAATGGGGACATACAATACTTTATACTTCTAGGAAAGCTTTTCTATGGTCGTTAAGGAGGTCTCGAAGTAACGTTTTTATTTACGGCTTCACAAGCACCTCTACATTCTTACTTGTTGAGATCAACTTGAGTGTCGTGGTGACTGACTGGTATTTCCGTACGGCTTATGACTTGAAGTAACGTAGATGTATTCTTGTGCACCATTGTGCAGGATTCGGTTATTGCAAATAACAAACATGAGCAGGAGAATATCCCAACGACAGATACTCGAGATACCGTTAATGAAGCGGAAGAGGTACGCAACGATTGCAAATTCGGCAGAGAAACGGTTATAAAGCGAGATGGAGATGCTACTGATACGAACGTTGATATCGATGCAAGATCCTGTATGAACAGTAAAACATCACTACAGATGATGCAAAGGTGTGTGTGAATCTTTTGGTCGTTTGCAGTACGATCCTGAAGTTTTTATTCGTATCCATGTGTCTGTCAATCCGACTATACCATTTAGTGCGTACACATATCAGCTGGCGCGATTGCATCTGTGTACTATTTGATATATTGACAGTTCATTGCTGCTTTGATTTGCTTCATATAGCGACTCCTACGATGCCAATACTTCGATACTCGCTTCCCCACCGAGTCTGACACCACCACATCCCGGGCTGAGTCCATTGGCTCGAGTCGACGATAACAAGGACTCAAAATCACGGCCTACTTTATCTGACGGAGGGCCCGCAACCCAGCACCAACCAAAGCCACACATGAAATCACAAACAACGGATCCTACTTCTTTACTCAAGACTACATTGATCAAAGATATCAGTGGGAAGGAAAGTGCAAATAGTATGAATAGTATGAACGGCACCGAGAGTACAGGAATATTGAAAGCCGCGAGCCGTTCCAGCACAGATATTACTGCGGACGAGATGCCGACTCAGAAGGGCACCGTTGAACGCACAAAGAGTGACCTGGATGCCAATAATGGTCTATACGACGATGTAATCAACCGGCTGAGCAAAAGTAGCTCACCTGTGGCTAAGCAACAACCCGCCGCAGTCGAAGGCGTTTCATCGGAAAATAGTGAACCTGATAGACAATTACTTACGACACCGGCATCACCGAAAATCTCACCGAGGCATGGTACCAAAGAAGTTGCAAGCGTTGCAGATGATGATGAATTTAAGAACATAGGCGATGACAGCGAGAGCAAAAGTCTGAGCAGTGCCGTATCTCTGTATGACGAGACCCACGGCAGTAGCACCAACATGAACGCTTTGGAGCTTGAAAGTTTTGGAGATTCAGTACGAATGATTGAACAAGAACTGGCCGAAGCTCAGGGATGGGCTATTAAACAGGACAAGTTGTCACCAAAACCTCCCATGCTCAAGAAAAAGGAGGGTTCGATTTTGGACATGACGGAAATGCTCAGTATTCCACCCCCTGCAGGAGTGAATAGTTCTGAACCCAAGCCATTGACTTTTCTGTACTCGGATTCGGTGGGCAGTGGTAAAAGTACTGCTTCTAGCACACACTGTCAAGCAAGTGTCAAAGAGAGATCGGGTAAGAAACTCAACGCCACGACGTTTGGTACGAGGTTATCAATACTTTCCAACCACTCGAGGACATCGCAGAAGTCAAACCACAGCACTAGATCACCGGCCTCGATGAATTCGTCCACGAATTCAATTCTGAGTGGCGACAGTGGGCATTACAATTTGTCTTTCAGTCCCACCACGTACAGTGTCAAGTCGCTTGACGGACCGACTGCCGGTACCGACAAACGCGCGGGCAGTGTACTCAGTCTGGAAGCCTTTCTTAGTTTACATCCAGGTAGGATGATCATTTGTTCAGTATTGTGTTGTAAGGTGGTCAAAGTGCAGGTTATATATATATATATATATATATATATATATATATATATATATATTATGTGTGTGTGTGTGTGT